TCTCGCCTACAAAGGAGAGAAAGTGAAGGTATTTGAGGGCTCAGATGTTGCATGGCAGAGAGAGAAAGAAAGCAGGAAGACAGAAAAATTGGAGTGTAGTGAAAAGGTAGCAGAAAGAAAACTGAATAAAAAGAAAGTGATAGTTAAAGGTAGCTTGGTGTTCATGGTATGATATTTCTACAGAGCTATTCAGCCTTTGCAACTACCTAATAACAGATGTAAAATGCTTCTTGTGCTGGTGTTATGGCATGAAATTGTCCTTGTGCGGTTTCTCAAAATCCTTCAGTAAATTAACCAGCTGCTCTATATAAAGAATCTGTTCCAGTTGGTTATTTTGAGCCCACAAGGATATTAATTCTAAGAAACTCAGTTTATAATAAAATAAATGGAATCAAACTTATTCAATAAGTAGTCTTGTCAAGAAAACACAAAAGATCATTATTTGAGAAATACAACAGCTGGCAAAGATGTCACATCTGAAGCTTAGCCATGGTCAGAACTGTTAGTAAGTAGTTTCAGCTCATGCACCACCACCATGCCACAAGAACAACTTTAATTTACTCTATGCTCAAGTTCTGCTATTGTACTCTAAGTTATTCCAGGTATTCTTGATTGAAGAATTCGGCTGAAAAACTCTCTCAGAAAAATATTACAAGATCCTTGGAAGCAAATAAAAACTTGGAAATACAGATGAGGAGCTGAAACTCCTGAAAAATAGAAACTCCAAGAGAAAAAATAGGGAAAAGGCAGGTTGCAGGATCAGAATACATGGCTGAAATTAGTTTACCTTCCTCTCCCAGATTTACACCAGAACCTGATCATAAAATGCATTCAATATAAAAAGCTCTTGCACTTGAATTGCTTCTCAGAGAGGAAAGGTCTGTGGAGATGTTAACGGAAGATGTAAGACCCAATACTTATACTCATTTAGGCAATTGCTATTCCTTTTAGTTAATTTAACAATATTTCTTGTTGTAAGATTACAGACAAATTGAGGAGTGTAGAAGTAAAAAGCACTGAATACGTGCTAATTATTATTCTGCTATCTTTTAACAACATACTGGAATGTTAACAGTAGAGAGAATAATTCCAGCAACGTTTTAAAAAACCCTCTCAATTATGCAAATTTGCTGTAGTTAGGACTTGGCAGATCAAAGAACTTCAAAATGAATTTGATAAGGACAGCCGTATGTGCCTTGTTATTCTACTGTTTGCATGAATATTGCATACATAAAAGATGCTGTATTTCACAACTGAAGACCTGCAGAAATGGGAACATCAGAAATAGAATGGTGAACATTTCTTCTTCTTTAGTTTGGTTTCAGATGGTCCAACCAATAACTGTTCCTCTGATAAGACTTCTGGTAAAGACAGCAAATAGCAACAATGACAGGAAAACAAACTGAATGTGGAATGTTCTTTTCATTAGAAAAAGAACAATATTGTTATATGTTACTTTTTTGGAAAGAGATTATATATAAATTATATATATATAAATATATATATAAATATATATATATAGAAAAGGTGATTATAAACTATAAGATTCTTTCATTATTGCTTTCATAAAATTAAAAGCTTTGGATGTGGATTGTTCCATATTATATTAAAAAAATGGAAATAAATTGATAAAAATTAGTTTTAAGATGGTATATAGATGCCATACTTTTAAAGCTCCATGTGGAAAAGATGTTTTTTAGGTTTATACATGGCCCAAAAATGCCATCTGGGTTCGGTACTGTCAGCCAATACATATATATGAAAGCATCGCTTGAGGTTTTTCTTGGCAGTCAGACAGAACACGATTTGGCTGTAACAGACAATGCATATCAAAATAATAACCTGTAGGCCAATAATTCTAGTTAGAAGTACATTTACTGAATTTTACAAGTAGGACTGGAGAAAGAAGAAAGTCTAGCTAAAAACTTAATGTAATAGGTTCAGAGAATGTGACTGAGAAATACTTGCAGGAATTTTACGGACTCAAAAAAATCTATTAATACATTTGCAGTTGAGAAGTTGATCAAAGAGTATTACAAAATTCCCTGTAGCAGTACTGTGAGGGTCATAAATGCATTTGGAATTCATTACTGTTATTTCATAATGTCAAAACAGAAAAGGAAATTAATCATGATTTGGCTCTGTTAAGTTTTTATTATTGCAAATATGGTAGTAGTGAAGATTAAGAGTACTATAGCAGTATGAAATCATATTTGATAGATATTTCCCATAGTAAACTGGAAGTAAATTGAACTTATCATTCCTAAAAGCAACCCTCCTGAAAAGAACTACCAAAACCTAGGACAATGGTTTAAAAAAAAAAAAAAATTACTTATTTTCCTTTCAAGAGATCCAGAAAACAACTAAAAACAACCAACATCCCCAACTCCTCAAGATTAAGAAAATATGTAAAATAGGTCCAAATTTTAAATTAGCTTTATTCCCCCACAGATACAGGGAATTTGTAAGTTACTGGCAAAGTAAGTAACTTGGCAAAGTTACTGACACAGAGGTCAGTAGTTGGAACATCTTTATTTTGCCACTGGGTTATAACATAAGATTGCTGAAATAATGAGTGGACACAAACCAATCCCATCTAAACTTGTAATTCTCTGTTTACTTAAGGTAAGTTTCAAATGAACTTATTAAAACTATGTCAATTTATAAAAATTAAGTTTATTTTAAAAAGCAGCATATCATAAACCATCCAGGTCTGCAACCTCTAATCCTCTACAGTTACAATTTCTGGTATCCCAAATAGAAAGTGTTTTAAGGAATCGGATAATATAGATTCTACTAGCTGTTAGATGCAGTCTTATAAATGTATAGTATGACTTCACTTGAAATATCACACTTCTAAGTCTGAGATAGTGTTAAGCACAAATAAATAGAATGAAAAACTGCTGACTATATGAATGTTGCATCTAGATGAGTATAATTAGATCTCAGCAGAGACTGTGTTATAGTTGATTTGATTTATAGTCATTTTGTAGCTCTTTGCTAATGAAGAAAAGATCAGTTTGATGGTGCCACTAATGCATTTCTTTATTTATGCAAAGAAGTCTTTTCTTGTTACTATCAGTATTTCTGATAATACAATTGCGCATAGATATCTACTGAAAACATACATGGCCAAAGGGATTATGAAGCTGTTTTTTCCTTTAACAGGTGTACTAAATTTAGGCAGGCCCACATTAAGTACAAGGGAGCCTGAAGGAGTAAATACATTACACTTCCTTAAACTCACTGACCTCTTCATTTAGATGCAGGTTCATTCAAAGAATGCACCAAACTAACTTCTAATGGCAGGCTGGAAAGAAATTTCGTAATCTAGAAATTACAGTAATTTCCAGCAACTCTACCAACAGCTGTCACAAAGCAGCTTTATCTGATACCTGATATCCATATTCTCAGAAGACAGCCCTGAAGACTAGAGGTGCAGCAATCAACTGCAAGTAGCTTAGCAGCACAAAGAAGAGATTAATTTTTATTAAACAAATTTGTGAAAAGAAAGAAGAGTTTTTATTAAGATATGAAGATAACTACAAGCTATTTGCACTTTTGCTCTGTTGAAAAGCAAGCACTTGAGTCTTTGAAAAAGGGGATGGGTACAATAAAATTGCTCATCTTCAACAGTATTCTTAAGTAGTATTCTTAGCATTCTTAGTATACTTCACAGAACTCATTCACAAACTGAAGTCTACAGTCAATATGGAACATAGAAGCAAAATTACTCAAAACTCAAGATACGCAGTCATTAAAAAGTACAGAGCAGAAAAGGTACACCAGAGAGCATTAAAGTAATACAGACAACACGGTTGCAATCTCTAAAAACTTGTCTTTAATTAAACTGACTTCAAGGCGAAGTGTGAAACAAAATACGTTTGGATTTGCATGGTGAGAAATCCTTCACTCCTCTACAAGCAGACCTACTTCCTGCCTGGAACGTGCAACATCTTTCAGACTTATCTTCTGTTTCTTCATAACTTCTCCACAGTACACTAAGCTTTTTTTTTTTTTTTTTCCTCTTTTCTTTTTTCCTGCTGTGCTCCTTCCTTACCGCTTGGGCAAGAACATTTCAGGCTATGGCAATTCTAACTGTACGCTGACCACACGGCCAGCCGGGGGTCAAAACAGTATAAATAGCTGTTGATCTCTACTTAACGTATTTTTCTCACGTGGAATTTTGTTTTCTGCTTAACTGTTGAATTTTACAGAACTGGTAGTTTTATTTGTGGCATGTATTCTTCAGTTACAATTAGTTCAGCAGGCTAGTGTATTCAAGTTATTTAGGACTACAAATAACCAAAAAGACAGCATACTGAAGTAAGTTTCATATCCACAGGAATCCAGGGAAAAAGAGAGATCTTGTACAAACCTTTGCCAGTATTTTTTTTTGGTATGGTTAACAAGATAGGCTCTACAGTGACTTGGCTCTGACAGCCAGCCATCATCTTGGTAACTGCCAATAATGAGATCTGCTAGTTGTTACCCACCAGCACTGCCTGCCTAAGGGCATGGCCTGACGCACTGTGCTCTCTTAGATTAACTGCAAATCTCTAGATTTACTGTGGTGTTTTAAGTGTTCCTAACTAAGTAAGCTCTTAGATTTAGCTTATGAAGAAACCTTTCAGAGCAATGAAGCCACGAGCAAAACTAGAAAATTAGTTTGTAAAACTGAATTTGTACAATAGAAAAAAATACTCCGCATTTCCATATATTGGCAGTAATTACTAGCTTGAACAAAAACACAGCCTTATAATTTCAAGCCGAACTTTAAGCACGTATGAATGCAGAAGTACTACAGAGTATCAGAATATGTTTTAATCTGGTACACATTTAAAAGTCATGTTATTTCTCTATATTTCCTAGGGTAGAATAAACAGTTCTGAGCACAGTGCTCAGGGTGAGAGCATGGTTTAGAACCCCAAATACCCACATCTCTTTCCTTAGATTATTGCCATTATTTAGCAATGTCTATTCTTATGAAATTATCTTACCTGACCCATTTTTCAAGTATCCATTTGCATCAACAGTTGTATACATGATGTAAGGACCAGGCTGATTAACACCAAAAGGCTAAAAGTGAGAGGGGAGGGAAAAGAAGCAGGCAAAATTTTAGGAGCAAAGCTCTAGTAATAAAAACATTAAAGCAAAGACAAACTTTTACAGATTAATGATTTCTTCAGGATATAGATTATTTTGAAGTCTTGCTCTTACATTGCCCATAGCAATATGTGGAAACCACAACTAATCAGTTGTCTAAGTACCGTTCCGTTTCTCATGAAGAAAGCAATGCTATTCAGTCTTATGGCAAAAGGTTGAATATTTCCTATGGAGCTTTAAATATATTAAAAATCTAAAACCTCAAATTATAATAGCATGTTCTGAAACAAAACAAAACAAAACAGGATTCATTCAAGATTTTCTGAGAATGCTCCATTCTGACTGAATTTCTTAATCTGAAAGTAGAATATAAATTCATCATCATTGTTCAGCAATGTTTTATTTAATTAAAACAGTTGAACAGTTAATTTTTAGGTACCAAGATCTATTTTAAATAAATTATTTGGAGAGAGAAGATGTGCTTAAACATCAAAGTACAGTTATGGGGGTAAAAAAAAAAGGAAGGAAAATCAAAGGGAGTTGTGGATTATTGAGTGATGAACCGTGTCATGTACCTGTGTGAGAATAGGAGGAGCATACGTGGGGGGGAAATGATCTGTTAAGGTAGGAGGGACAGGGAACAGCTACAAGAGAAGATTTTAAGTAAGGGCATTTTTCTTTTTTCTTTCTCTTCAAACAGTGAATTCAAGCTGATATTATGACATCCAGTTCAGTAAAAAGACCTTTCAGATGAGTTGAAGAAAGTTCACTGAAGAAGAGATGATGAATGTTTTGCATCATGCCTCAAAAAATAGTGAGTTGTAAACCATAAGAATAAATAACAATGATGAAAGACAGTATCAAATCTTAGAAAATAGTAATTGGCTAGAGTGAAGCATAAGGAGACAGAAAAGATGATTTTAATACAGAACTATGAAAGATGAACCTTATTTGATGTTAAAATGTGCATTATTATTGTGTCGGCCAAGTATTTGTATTCTGACATAACATACCTCATAACACTAAGTTTTGTATGTTTGTTTTTTACAGTGAAGGCAATAGTACTTCAATAATCTTGACTATCAAGTGTTCAACATCTGTTGAACATCTGCTTTCTAAACCTTCTCTTCATTTTGGTAATTAAGCTAATAATACTACCAAAAACCTCTTACTATCTTTTATCAGAAATTAATCTGTCTTAAAATAGGCTTGAAGAAAAGATTGCTTTCTTTTGAAGCAGGTTGTTTTTTAATTTTCAAACTATATTTTAAATTCACAGCTTCTGCAATTCAGCTCTGCAAAAATAACTTTGATTCCTGAGTTCCCCTTTTAGGCCTTTCTCTGTGAATACTGTCATTTGCTAATTGAAATTTAACAGAAAACAGGTGGTTTTCAGGGTCTCTGGAGATGATTAAAAGATTTGAAATAGAATTAAGACATCTACATGCAGCTAATCTGCAGAACCATCAAACCAAGTACATTTCGTTCCCTTTCTTCCTTTTCCTTCCTTGTACCCGTGTAACTGGTGTTAGCCCAGAAGTTGCTACCTAGCACCCAATAGCTGAATTTGTCCCACAGTGTTTTGCCTGGCCTTTATGACTGCCCTGATCAAAACTTGGCACATTTCATGGATTGGGCATCCAGCTGTATTACACATTTTTCTTGTACCTGACATAACTCAGCCCTGCAATGCTGCATAACAAATCTCACTGCAGAATCATTCAATGGAGACAACTGGAGAAAGATAGTCTCAAACATGCACAACTTTGCCAGTTGATATTTGGATCACACATCCTTCTAGTCAGTAACTGTCTTAGTTATGTATGTGAACAATTGTCAGCATAATTAGACCCCAGCTTATTTAAACCTAAATAGTATTGTAAAGACATAGTTACACTTACTGTTATTTTCCGAGGACAGTCATTAGAACAGAGGCCACTGAGAACTGCAAGAACAGAAAGTTTACAGTCTTTATATTAACAAGCCATCTTACAAGCACAACCTCAAAAAACTATTAAAATGTACTAATAGATGTCATGTATCCATTAAGACAGATAAAGAAAACAGATCTCATCTATTATGACTTATGCACTACAAGAATGCTAATTTGCTTGAAGTATATTACTTTGCAGAAATTAATCAGCTAATCACTATTTTCTCATACCTCACTGGTTAGCTTGCTTCCAAAAGAAACATTTGTCAGTTGAAAAAAATCCAAATTAAAACGTTAAAACGTAGTAGACTATACATTTTACTCATTACACTTTACCTCTAACCATTTAAAATATACTTGTCAGAAATTCAGCTTCACTACTTTTTTTTTTTTTAACTGGAAAAGAGGAAAGTAAAGGCTTTTCCCTAAATACAGGCAATAGCTTTAAAACTTGATTCAAATCAAGTCCCATTACCTGTTTATTCTGTGTCATTCAGAAGTATTATAAGCAGATGTGCATAATGCTTCTTAATATCTAAAGCATATGACAGTTGTTGAATTACTTGTCAGCCTGAAAAATCAGTTGACTACAGAAATGTTAAACATTTATAATCAACTAAGGGACAATGAAAGCCATCTGTTCTGTAACCTAGAACATCCTGTCACATTAAATATTAGATGCACAAAAGCTCGGGTACAAAATGTGTGGTGACAGTGAAGTACTAAGCAGTGTATGTAACAGTGTAATACTCTGATCAAAAATCATCCCAAACTAGTATAATAAGGACTACTTGTATTTTCTGTGAAAATCGGAATGGAAATTATTTCAAAGTTAAAATTTTTAGTTTGTGACTTAACATTTTTAAACATCCAAATAGAGAAAAATCTGTAATCTCTCTATACAGTCAAAAAGAAAGACTAGACAATTAAGGTGAAGGCAAAGTACAATTTGAAGATGGTGCCTGTATCTAACAATAGACAACAAGCTACAAATTTATTTTGTATGTTAGACAAAGATGCACGTTCAAGTGGAGCTGTCTCTTCCTATTTTGATGCAAAACAGCACATGGCAATTTGCTGTTCAATTTCACTGTGGGAAAAATAACCTGACCAAGTTCATTAGACTACTTTCATTGTCCATATACCAAATAAATGAACACAGTGCATTTAGTGATACACCAATGGGCATAAAGCCTGTTTTATTATAAATACTCCCTCCTGTGTCACAGCAGAAATGCTTTTAAGCTACTCTAATTTCCATTTTCTGGGGTTTCTACAAAAACATGAGCATACCCGAGGATGGTGCTAAAAATCAAAGCAAACCTTTAAGATATATGTAATAAGGATGCTGAAAATTATTCTATTACCCATTCAAAATATTACACAGTTGTCTGTCTAATGTAGCTATGTGAAATGAAGCATTTTTCTAGAAGGTTTTCTGCATGCTTGTGATTATTACACTATCTATACTCAGTATTATTTAAAAAGAGTACAGCTTCCATCAGCATGACAAATCATTGTAGTCTAATATGATGAAAATAAAGGGCAAACTACAGAGTAAGTAACACATGAATCAGCCCCTAGCAGTGGATGCAATTCTGTTTATCTTTTAGCATGCAGGATGTATGCTTCAGAATCATTATGTATATTTAAATAACACAAAGGCAGACAATTTCTCCACAGTGAACCTCCTGTTTTTCTTGTGTAGTTTTCTCTTTGAGTTCACTTACAGCTTTACCTTTTATCCCTCCTCAAAAATGAAGGAGGGCAGCCAAGCAATGAGCTCAAAGCTCAACACCTTTGCAGTCTGGAAGAACATGGTAGGGCATGCAATTTGAAAACCTAATTACTCTCAATTACAAATATCATAATGTAACAGTTGCCTTTTAAACCAATGCTTTAATTAATTCACATACCCTTGCCATGCTATCTGTCATCCTAAATTGTTGTGTTAAGATATTTTATGCCATGAAATACATGGAACACCAAACTGACTCAGACATGGAAACGTACTCTCAGAATAGATCATGCAGAACATGAAATATGCTCCATGCAGAAGATCCTGAAATGAAACCAGTTCATTTTGGCCTAGATTCTGCATCATTTCCAAAGGATATAGGAAGAGAAACTCTAGTAAATTAGGCTTAATATGACAGCGGTACGGGCAAGAGACAAAAGTCCTTGCTGGAAAGAAAATAGCACAACCACTCAAGGCACAAATGAAAATAAATATATTTGGTTATTGTTTCTTGCCTAAATTCTGAAAATAGGCAAGATAAAAAGACAGTCATGGTGGACAGACAAAGTGCGTTCCTTCAAGTCAATGCTGTTTTAATATCTTATGGTTCTCTTCTGAATTATTATGGCATACATATGTATAAGCATAATTACATTTTTATCAGGTCAGTGACTAATAGGCTGATCTTCCTCTAAATTTTAAATATCATTAGACATTAAAGTCTAAGCTGAAGAATAGATATATGTAGAATTACGTTACTTCCACAGTGACAGCGCTATGTTACATTTGGAGATAAGTGAAGGTATTGTATAGAAGATTCACAAAAGGGAGCCCTTGAGCTCAGCCAAGTCCAGCCCTTTCCCTCAAAACCAGATATACTACATAGTTTGTTTAATCTAGTTGTATAAACCTCTAATGTTGGAAACTCTGCAGCTTCTCCAGGAATTATATTAATACTTCAATAGCTGCTGTTTAGGAAATTACTCTTACTGTTTACTCTTGTTTTAAGTTTGTTAATTTCTGTAATATCCTGCATGGACAACAAAAAGCCAAACACACTTGTTCCCCTATGGTTATATATCGTCATGGATTGAAGAACATGAGTTTCTTCACATTTTTCTTTTAGAATGAATAACTCAGTTTCCCTGAATATCATAATTTTTGACATTTCATAATTAGTTTTCCTTCGAAAGTCAGAAGATCTTTTAAAGATCTAGAATCTGTCTTCAGAATTTTGCTAAGACACAGAAGTGAAGAACCAAAGCTCCAAAATGAAAGGAAGGATTTAGACTGCCTCTAGGTAACAACTGAGATATGACCTGCTTTCTAAGTAAAAGCACACACCCAGAGATAATGAACACTTATTTACTTGAAGGACATTGTGGTCAAAATTGTTATTAAAAACTGCTAAAGTGATATTAGAACAACAGAAGTACGGAGAATAGTGGACAGAATTGCTTGGAAATTAAGCATGCTAACTTAAAACTAGGAAAAAACCCCAACCTTTGTAATCAAACAAAAATGAGTTATCCAAGTATAGATTCTGCAATCTCTTTCTGCAGACCTAACATTTTCCATGCCGTATTTTTTTCTTTTTTTAGTACTGCCATGCACACTGCATTACCATAATGTTATCGTATACAGAGGATCAAATACTCACATTCCCCTCAAGATCTGATTTTGACCTGATTTTATGGTAATAACTTACCAATAACTTTAACAAAATATGCATCTGCTTCAAAGTTGTTTTTTAATGTATGGATAGCAAAGTCTTCACTGGAGTGGCCCTTGCTTACTACAATGATATCCAAGATTCCCTAGAGGGAAAAAAAAAAAGGTTGAATTAGAAATGAGAATGCTGATTTACTCTAGATAGCATCTAAATTCAGTAAATAAATTCCTTTAGAGACACAAAGAAAAAGAACAAAAGCGTGCAGCAAAGTTTACTTTTCCTCTACCAATTATAATATATTTAGTATTAGATTAATCTGTGGCAATATTAGAGTGCTCCATCCACACATAACAAGGATAATACGAGGTTTGTATCTTCCATGGCGCTGAAGAGGGCAGTTCAAACAGAGCGAATGGAGGGCTGGCAAACTTCTAGTCAGTGAATGGGCTGCTGCTACCTGCCCATCTTCCAGAGACCATTTCAAGAGCATGCAGAAACACCCCAGTCTGAAAGCACTGCCTGCCATGTGCTCTAAGGCCAATGTTTATACAAAGCAGTGTAAGAATAACACAAAACACATACAGCAGCACAGCAGTGGCACTTTGCCGCAGTAAAGAGTTGAACTTACATCTTCGTAGATATCAAAGAAGGTTGCCACGACTGCATCTTTGATTTGATTTAGATCAGAGAGCTCCCAAAAAACTTTAAACATACGACGTGCACTCTTGCAGCTTGCATTATTGCATGGGACATTTTCTAGTAAAAATGCTTGTTGATTGCTGTAAGACATTATGTATAAATAACAATTTACTTCATGTAAAATAATAAATTACAATATCTTCGTAATTTTGAAACCAACTGAAAAAGCTAGCAGACATTAAAAAATCAGTAAGCATTTATGGTAGCCTTACAGTCACAATTAAAACTCTTCCGTCATGCCTGATTTAAACTAACGAATATGTTAAATAAGTAGGTTCAAAACAGCAGGAATAACTTCGTTCTTCTTACTTTATTCTGACTCAAGTACAAGTGTACTTATCTACTGTTTTCCTTAACCCCTCATCACGGTCTTTCAGCTTATGTACTCCCCAAAACATACTGGTGCTTTTTTCGTTATTTTACAACACGAAGTGTTGGAATATTGACACAAACAGATCATGTTGCCACGTGTAGTATAGCAAACAATCTCATTTTTGAAGAAGTCATCTAATACACATTAACTGGTCACTGGGAAACACCAATGAGTGACACAAGCCTCACACGTACTCTGATGGCTAACAGTGTATACCCAGTCTATGATACCATAAGATCACCACCCTCACTAGAACTGTGAAAACCTTCAGAACTTCCTTCAGCTGTGTATCTGATTGCTTGGCAAGTCTCGGTTACTACCCTAGAAGCCCACAGGGATCCATCACTGGGAACAGATGAAGTTTCCTCCCCTCTCTCTGAAGGGAGCCAGGAGATGAAACAGCCAGCATTCTGCAAGGCTAGCTATGCATGTTAGAGCCAAGGGCAATAATCAAAAGCATTTCTTCATTATGACCTTGAACATAATGCTATCGCAGACAGTGACAAGAAAGTGTTCTTCCATATCTTAACAGCATCCAAGGCTATCAGGATGCAGTCACAAGCAGAAGCAACTTCAGCACTTCTCCTTATGAAAGTTTCTGGTTTTCTTGATTCCTGTGGAAAATTTGCTAATAATAAGAATCAAAACTCACAATATTCACATTTCTGTTCCCTCCATTTCAGAGTTAGAGGAGGGCAAAACATTTACCTTGTGAAAAAATACTTCTGATGCTGAAGTAACTAACAGTTTCTTTGCACAGTATCAGCTAGTATTTCGAAACCTGCACTGGCATCGAAGATGCATAAAAATAAAATGGGATATTGAAATACTTTCCCCAAAATATTATAATCATGTTTCTTGAACTTCTGTGAAAAACAAAAGAAAGGTCTCTGTTTTTCAGCCCTATGCCTGAATTTGACTGGGCCTTAACATGAAAAACCTTTTTGTAATTTCACTGTTAAAAGTGCAAGTACATAGAATTAATGCTCAGCCATAAATCAAATTAGACTACCTACAATATTTAGGACAGTGTATTATCTGAACCTGGGAACTCATAACCACAACTTAAAATGAATGTGAGCATTTAATGTCATGTATTATATCAGTATCATGTGAAATTATCCAACTATAAAAGGTGACAACTCGAGCTAAGCAAATTGTTTCAATTTCTCTTCTTTGTCACCTTGACATACTCTTTTAAGAAGAATTGTAGTAAACTTTTAGAAAGATGCTTTCTTTCAATTCTCATTTTTCAAACAGCTAGAAATTATCACACGTTATTTCAAAAACAAAGATGAAAACTTGGCATTACACTTCAATACAGAATATGGTTCAGGTCTAAATGATAAGACTTTTGAATGGACAGACAGGGTTATTCACTGTAGGAGGCTTTTTATTCCCCTTTCCTTGGTAATGTGCATTCATGACTTTGAAAACATCAAAATAATACCAAATGCAATGGCAGAATAAGGGAAGATATAAATCAGAGCATCATTTAGAAGGGAAATGGCAATTTCCTTTACCCTCTACATCAGAAACAAACACAAAGATGAGCAAAAAAATTGTTTTTTTTTTTTTAAGAAAATGCATTACTATAGGTTGGCTCATAAATACTATAGCTTAAACAAGTTGTTTATCCAGCCTTGCCTCTGACAGGTGATAAAACTAACAATGATTTAGGCAAAGATGATCTAGTTTAATTAGAGTCCTTACAAGTAGACACATGCAAAGAACTAATATATATATACTCAATATATGTATGTATATATATATATACATATATATGTACATATGTATATATATATACATATATATATATGCACACACACACATATACACACACTGATTTTAAACTGTGTGTGACTGCCTAGAAAACTTTATACAAGTGTTTTATACTCAAACACTTTTCATTCAACTGTCCGTATTCAGGTTTTTTTTTTTAATCATTATTATTTTTCTTAACTATCTCCATATCTCCATCTTTACTACTATTTATCACCGAAATCTGTGATAAAGTAATGGTATACTTGGAAATACAGTATCTATTTATCAGAGAAAACATTCCCTTTGAATGAAACCTCACTAAAAAAAAAATGATTCCTTAGATTACATGTTTGCAATTCAAGATGCCAATTATTAGCATCTAATTAAAACAAGTTGGAAACAAACGATTAAAAAATGTTTCATCTAATTATGTGGCAGAATGAAAGACAGGCATTTATAGGTTTATATGCAGTACTTACACTTTCAACATTACAAATTTAAAACCAAGAAGTGAAAAAATTAATAAATTTAGATAAGATAGCAATTAGAGATAAACCAGTAACTACAGATAAAAATACCTGTTATTCTACACACACAAATATATATATATATATATATATGGCCAATACAGCCATAACTAGAAGGAAGAAATATTCACATATGTAGCCTAAAGAGAAATCTGCAGACTGGAATTCTAATGTGGAGGCTTTCACTCAAGTCAAAAGAACATTACATGACTTTATTGAAAATACAGGATACAACAGGTGATGAAACACTGTGGTCTTATGGCAGCTCTATGAATATTTGAAACTATTAATCATTTTCTTAACTTGCTCCCCAGGACAGCCAGCAAGCCAAAGTTATTCCTAACTACAATAGATGTCTTTATTTCAGTGTTTTGTAGGGATTTAAAAGAACTGTTCTGAAAGTACTTTCCAGAAGTATAACAAAAATAATTTATTTTAATGATATTCTTCCATCATCGTGTAGCAGTGTATTTTCAGATGAATACAATGTTTTTTTGCCTCTTTTAATTTCCTTCAGTTAGACAGCATCCAGAAGCTACGTTTTCTAAACTGCGGCACAGATTGAGGTCAAGAGTTTAAAAAAATGCTTTATCATTTAATCACAGTAATCAATCACAGAAATTAGATTTGTAGATGTAGCATGAAAGGCTTCAGAGAAAGAAATAAACAGCTTGATTCAGAAGTGTTTAAAATCAATTAAATAAGGTTTCCATTTTAACTTGCTCTGATTTAAGAGGAACTTTTAATTTAATTCCCACACATTTAACTCTCTCTACTCTATACCCCAGTTATACATTTTAAAAGGAAGCATTTACTTGTGTTTCTCAGGAAATGACTTCATAGTACTCAGAAAGTGACATTTGATAATTGGTATAGAAGATGTTTTCATTACTTTTATATGAATATTGGGAATATACAGTGTTAACATACAGTTTATTCCTTAGTTACCTTTTTTTTCCCCAGACTTCCTCATCTCTCTGAACCTTACTTTGTGCAGCCTGTCAAATCACCTGCCAGTACTCTCAGTCCTTGTGCATAATAATGTGCCATTCAACTTTGAAGTCAAGTTTCAAAATAACTTTTAAGACACACCCAACTGAATAAGTAATTTCAGAAGCAAAGAAAATAAAGACAAGTGTAGCACAGTAATTCATCTGTCCTAAGCATAAGCCTGGCAGAGAAGAGAGGCTCCCAATAATATTGAAAGATAACTTAACCCTCCCTCCACTTCTGAACTCCAGAAATCCTCTTGAAGTCCTTTTGAAATATCCTAACCATCATGATACATACTCAATACAGCCACAAATACAAGATTTATGGGCCTTACAAGTTTGCTAGTGTATACTTTTTACAATCATTATTTCAGTGATGCTGAAAAGAAGATGTAAAATCCCAACTAAGAAAGGCTATGGAGAAAAAACCCAACATTCACAGTCTGAGTGGTTTAACTTTGTCTATGTAGATTCTGGGCAGTAACAGAATCACCAGCTTCTTTGACACATTTGAAAAACAACAGTAAAAACAACAACAACCAAAAAAACCAGAACAGAACAACAGCTGTACTAGTTATCTTAAGGCTCAGAAGTAGTGGCAGAGCTCTGTTGCTCACTGCTTTGTGTCTGAATCACAACACTGTGTAGGCAGAATACAAGCACACAGCTCTTCAGTTTTAGGCATGTGTCAGTATGCAAGGAACTCGAACACAAAAATGTCAGTGAGTCACTCATGTTTAGGCAACCACTGGAGGATCTGAATTAATTGTGACTTAAGAATCTAAATTGTGTCTATATACTCTTCTAAGCATTGAAGAAAGATTCTTGGTTATTTTCATTTCTGAGAATTAACTGAAACTATGAACCTGCACCCAACTCTCATAACACATACACAGCTAGATAATAAATTTAAGTGTGACAGACTTGATTTTTCCCTGTAATGCACTAGTGCAAGTATTTATCATAGATCCCAATGAGAATGATTTTAAGACTTCATACGGTATTGATTAAAACACCTTTTAGAGGAGATGACATGAGAGAGAAAAAGTGACAAACATAGATAATCTTAGAGCTCTTCAGGTGCTGGAAAACACAAATTGTGCAGTACTAGACAGACCGAAGGACAGATCACAGCATATCCTATCAGTAGTGAGGTTCACTGGCATTATGGTCTCTAGAGATCTTTTAGATTTTTCTGAAAAGTAAACAATTCTATTCATCATTTCTACTGTCAAGCAAAACGACATTCTCATAAACACACATCACTTCAAGGTAAAGACAAGGACACGCCAGTGGGATCATCACCAGGTGCCAAGTGGGAGCTGCCCACAGGCTTCTCTGTTAGCTGCTAAGCTTGTCCTGCAGCCAAGTGATATGTGCAGAACAGCACAGGCATGCTTGTAACTCAGGTCAACTGTTATGCGGATCAGTAACTCCTCGTACAACAGTCTCCCAGCCCTGGATCACTACACCTGCCGTAACACCAGACTGCAGTAAGACAAAGGGCTGGAAGGCAAACAACAAAAAGTAAGAACAAGTACACTTGTTCTACTTGACAAAGTTAATAAGGAACGTAGGAAGCTTTTATTTTCCTTCCCTCTAAGATTTAAAACACTATGGTATATATTCCACTGACAGCACACATTTTCTGGCCTAATAGGTTTTGATTAATTTCAGTGATTGCAGAGATGTAGCAAGATTTTGACAGCATACATTAATAAACTGAAGTTTGAAAAATTGAATCAGAAATAGTCCTCATCCTCATATAATTTACCACAGCAGCTTTCTCTTTCCTCCCCAGTGAACAATAAAGAAAGTCCTCTACAGTGCATTGAAACAAACAAAGACTCCTCCTGCTAATACAAATATCCCTTTCTAATATATAAATCAGGAATCTCAAAGTAAAAAAAAAAAAGCCAAATTGATTTCTACAAACATCCTATGTGAACACAAGATAATTTTATTGCCTCAGCTACAATCATGAGTGATGGTGATCCACTAAGTACTAGATGAATCCCAGCTACTCTAAGTGGGGCATCCATTACATTCTGATCACTTAAGCATATGCAACACTAGAAAACATTTTAAAAATACGGAACATTTTCTCTTTGAACAACAAGTTGCTTGGCCTTCCATAAAAAGGGATCAATTGGCAAAATAGCTTAAGACATTTCAGCCGATCAATTGAAACTGCAGCAATGCTGAAAGGTGCTGCCATTTCCTGCTGAGGACAAAAACTATACAAAACATCCAAACAAATAAGAAGGAGCAAAGTTAACTATAAGCAACAAGGAAGGGTAACGAAAAATCCACAAAGTAACCTCACTAAAGATCCTGAAAGCAAGATGAAATCAAGAAAAGAAATGTACGTGACATCCACATAGCAAGGAATCCAATAACCATGTATTCATCAGGGAAAAAGCGATTTGATCGTGGTACATTTCAGTAGTGAAGTTTAAATGAAAGAACTATTTTGGAGGCACCCAGAAGAGGGGGAAAAAAAACAAGCTTATTTCATAAAAAAAGTTAGATATAGATTGATACAGAAAATAGAAAAAAATGCAGACAAGAAGAGAAGAATTCAAAACAAAAGAAAAATTAAGCTGAAATGAAACTAGTACTTGTAGCTTGCCTTTAATATATAGGCTAAAACACTGAACATCTATTCCTGAATTGAAGTAATGGCAAGGATTCTTTGCACACAAGTTTCTTTATTAAATATTACATATACCAACAAAGCCAATTCATTATTTAGCACTAAGAAAACCTTGCCAATTGTGCATCACGACACACCATGATAAAAAAATGCCATAATACAAGTGACTTAACAATTTTTCTCAGGAGAAAAACAACATGATTCTATGATTTTATTTCAATTGAAATTGGATAATATAAAGTGACCAGTAACCAAATAGATGCATCTAAAACACCAGGATCTCAGAAGGGGCAAAGAACACTATCACATACTTCAGCAGTCTCCATTCAGTGGACATAAAATGGGATATGACACGGAATGGGTTTCCTTGAACTCTTATCAGACTGTTGTTACTAGCTAACACTGCAAGTGTTCTTTTACAGAAGATGGGAAAGGGCAAGGAAAGACAGCTCCTGTGACCAGGGAGGAAAGCCTGAAATGGCACTTCATACTGCTCTGGGCTGAGATCAGACACGTTGTTCGCTTGATAAAATGAACAAGATGCACTAAAATTAATAATTTCTATGACTTAAGATCTAACATCTATATAATGGTAATTACCTTCCAGATGTGTTCTTTAGTATAGCAAGGGCATCTGGGTAGCCATCCATGTTGTAATCTCCAATATGAAGGGTCATTGGAAATGAAACTTGTGATGTAGTTTTGTCAGTTTGATTTTTTACAAAGCCCCAAAGTGTGTCTTTATTTCTGAAGTCTTGCAAGACTGGAATCCACTGTGAAAGAAATTGGAAAAGAACAGATAGGTAAGAAAACCCATTTCATTTATGAAAAATACCTAACTATTTACAACAACTGACAACTCTGTGCTGAGTCAGGACTCTGAAGCAGTTGACAAATTTTCAAGAGAAAATAAAGATTTCCTAACTCTGACACTAAATGATCAAGGTAATGTGAAATTTTTTCCATGTTCTTGGTTGTTCTAGAACACATGCACAAAACCCCCACAGAAATAGAAGAGGACTGTACCATCATCAAATTTGTCACAGTACAAAGGAAATACAAAGTATAATTTCTCCATGATAAGAAACAGAATCTATCTGAACGAACTTACCACAAAGGGCTACACAGGTGCTAAATAGGAATTTATCTTAATTAAAATCAAAGTAATTTCACAAATTGGTAAAAAACTGAAGTACAAGAGTTAACATTTCAATTCTACAAAAAAATTCAGTGCATTTTTAAAGCCAGAAGTAATTTTCTGTGTCAATTAACTGATAATGTCTTCAAAAGAACAGAAGCTGTCATCCTAAAAGATCACTATCAGTAAAGTCAACAGCACTTAAGAGCACCTTAAATGTCTCTCACCCAAGCCCTAATTTAGCTATTTCAGGAACCAGAATGAGATCCCTGGCAGCATTGTTTTCTGCTGTTATATAGCTGTGGAGAAACTCCCTCACTATGCAATTCTGCAAACAGCAAAGTTCCAGCTACACGGCAATTGTCTGCATCACTTGGACTGGTCTCTTGAGATTCCATGCAACCATATACACATTAAAAAAGCCCCCAGAATTATTTAGAACGTCCATTAAGTTGAACTCTTTCTGGCGATTACAGACAGCTTAGAAGCCTGGAACAGATCAACTAGACATGCATATAGTGCATTTCTGCCTGCACGAGTCACAGTGTTTCAAATGTTAAGAAGATCCATAACACCACCGTGGAAAACTCTTGAGATGATACATACTTTGTCATATTCCATCCCTGCTTTCCAAAACACGTGTGCCTATTTAGTTACTGTTAGCTGCTGGCTTGAAAAATCTAAGAAAATTATATAAATTTCAAAAAAAGACCGAGAGAAAATTTTCAAGGGGTGACTTCCTATCATTTATCTCTCATGAAAAAGATCAATGACGTTGTTGCAGAAGTACCATAATTTTGAAAAACAGATTGGAATCAGAACCACTAAATAAAATATAGTTTTTACTTTGCATGGAATGACCAAAGCCATTGCATTAAAACACATTTGTAAGTAATCATGTACTTATATATTCCTACATATGGTAACACTATTTTAAAGAAACAAAATTCAAAATGAAATTTTTAAGATTATATCTAAATTTGTGTGTTTTTTACTCTACTTAAAGATTCATAAAAAAAGCTATTTCACAACTGTAAGGTCTACAATGAAATGCAAAGATATAAATCAATAGGTAAAGAAAACAACTAAATCAGCAACTACATTAGCCTGTAGCTATTGCAGATGAAGGTAAAAAAAAAAAAAAGCCTGTGATGGCCAAACACCAGCCATGATATGATACAGTGCATGGGATTGTACTTAAGATCTGGTAGCAGTTGTTCTTTTCCTTCTTTCCAACTGTTATAACATCTCAATCTCTGTTAGTCACTCCAATGTAACTTGGCCTGTCCTTTGGCCACATCATCCAAAAGAAAATTTATCTCAGTTTAAAACATTAAATCATTAAGTAAAACCTATGGTGAAATAAGTTCATTCTTGAAATCATTCTCTTAGACCTGCGTGGCTTTCTAGTAACCATCCAGCTGTGCCAAAAACAGCACAAGAAGTAAATACACTGCAGACTGGCAGACATCTATCAAAACAAAATCTTAACAGAGCAACAACTCTAAAGCCTGACATGCCACTGCATGCTTCTCCACAGCATAACTGCTCAGAACCACAAATTCTACAGATATCTATTTTCAATTGCTACATGTTTCTACTTATTACATCATATGCCATCATGGAACTGTCTTAACTATTTTTCATTTTATTTCATTAAATGTCACAATAAACAAGCAGTGATAAGGAAGGACAGAACCAGATCCAGTTAACATAATAAAAATTTTTGTAAATCACAGCTATTTATTCTTGAATAATCACTTCTATAAGAAGTGATCACAGTATATCTATCACTGGTATATTCCATCCTAGTTATGCTTCCTTAACTAGTTAGTAACTGTGTACTTTCCTTTCCAATACAGGATAATTTTCTTGTGGGTAGGAAAGTATGTTATAGACTGTGCTCTAGAACTTTTGACTTGAAATGAGAAAATCTTCCCATAAACTTGGGCTGCAGAACATAATGAGAGGCACCTGTTTCTTGAATGAACAGTATGCTCATCTGTACGTTCCTGAGACATACAACTTATTTATAATTTGTCAGTAAAGAAATAACCAGTACTTCATAATGTGGTTAGGAAAAGGTATGAAGTACATTATAGGTTTCTGTAAGTACATGACAGTGGGTAGTGCTGTCAGCTGTAAGCAAGGCATTTACAGGACCCTGTGCTTTAGGTTCAAATAGTCAACTTTAAATAAATTAAAAACATGCATTAGGGCAAACAAACATTAGGATAAGCTGTGAATTGTGTCTGTATTATAAAGCAAGGTGCTGTAAATACTTAAGTAGATCAGCACACACTTTGTTTTAAAGTACTACATAGTAACAAAATATGCTGAATTAGTTTTATGACTGTGTCATTTAAAAAAAGGAAGAATCTTGCCCAAACAAAGCTGAATTAGTTTATTAGAAACCCAACTTTGAAGATACTCAGTGAAAGCAATCCTCAAATATCATTTGGAAATGTACTTTGTTACAAACTATGAAAGATACTGTAGAACTGTGGGTTAAGAGGTGTGGGCTGGTTCAACTTGATGATTTTTTTTTTTTTTTACAACAGAAATAAGTCCCTAATTTAAACTGAATTGAAGACACTTATTTGAATTAATTAGCTTTATTTCCAAACCTTAAATAAAAATAGATGAAAGTATTCCATTATTAGCAGCTTTGGTGCTTAGGTTGCAGTGTTTTGTACTCAAGAAAAAGACTCACCAGAAGTCTCTAATTTTCTTGGGTATTTTCCATTGTGAATTATCCATTACATAGCTTTCTAGGTATGCAAGTTTTTCTGCCAAAACCACAATTTCATAAATAAAAAATACATACATAAAAATCTTTTACACACTATCTTTACAGGTGAAGAAGTTTAACTACTTAGGAGAGAGAATTTGTTTTTCTTATTTCATATTAACTCAAAACACAGCATTTTCCTTTGCCTTGACAATTTCAAAGTAACAATACCTGCTCCATTCCTAGCTTAGTTAAGTAGATGGCACTTTTTTGACAGTTTACGTCTTCACATACTGGTAACAAATGTTCACTTCGTCCATCACCATCTGCCAAAGAGAACAGAAAAAGTCCACTTGTATTTGTGAACTCAGAAACTCTGCATGCAAGAGATGATCAGCTGGAAATTATTTATTCTTTTTAAATGTGAAAAATTAGACCAAGACAAAATAGATAATTAAAAAAAATCCTTAGCCATTGTAATAATCTAATTTGGGTCCTTTGTTTGAAGGTCATCTTTGCTCATGTATTTTCATATTGACCTATAGAAGAGAGAAAGTTTTAGATTTTATTTCTGATGTTAAGTAAGACACTTAGAAGAGCAAATACTTAGTAATTTTCTCAATCCCTTTGGGGAAGATTATGTTTTCTATAGATCTACCATCACAAACCCACTGTACAAACTAATATAGGTTTTCAACTAATTTTCAACTCCTGCACTGTCAAGAAGACTAAGCCTCAGGAGTCCACATGTAATACATTAATCTATATTAACAGGTAAAAACAACAGAGGAAAGTTGTCTAACAGAATGGCTACTAAGTTCCAGGCCTTCAGAATTAGGCAAATCTGAGTAAACTACAGATTAAGAATGTTCTTCTGGCACATTCATTTCCAGTAACTTTAGTAGAATGATGACCTTTACATGTTTAAAAATGTGATATATATTTGCCTCTAGAATTCTGTGTATTATAACAAGCAGATAGATTTTCCATTCTTTGATCCAGGAGAAATTCCTATGTTCACATTATAAGATTTTGACCTTGCAGTCTTTCCTAGCATATTCCTTGTATGGGCTGTGTAGTAAGAACAGTGAAGCAGCTGAATGTAAGCAGCCAAAGAGAAACTTAGAATTGCTGCTTTAAAGATTAGCACTGCAAGTCCCAACTGTAAACAAATATGTCAAATGTGACTTGTTAAAGAGATGCTATACTCCAGTCCAGAGAAAAATATAGACAATCTGCTTTTCCAGGCTATAAAAATGTAATACAAAAAAACAAAAAAACAACAAACAACAACAGTAGTACAAAAAAACCCACTGTAGTACTAAAGTCAGCTTTTCAAATCACCCCATATCCATTACAAAGTTTTGAACATCATGTTATTAATATTTTAATTGGATTTTGTACAGTTGCTTGACAAATTCTCCTTAGTTGATTACATAAAAACTAGATCACCCTCAAAAGTTAATGTATTCCTAATTATTTCCAAATATACTATTGACCACAACCTAAATATTTTTGTCATGCTTTAGCTATACCATAATTAATGCTTTCTCAGCATGCCAAATTATATTTCTATGAAGCAGAACCATTTCTTAGTTTATACATCTAAGTACAGCTAAGCTTTGTAGGTCCCTCTCTAATTATGTAAGGAAGCTGAGAGCTGGAAAATAGGGTTATAAGGGGGAGGAAGAGTGAAGAAAACATCAGACATCCCCAAATACATCCAAGTGATAAAGCCAAACTGTCAGCTTCTCTAGTTCTCTAATTACCATCTGCCTCTCAAATTATTCTACCTCACAGTAAAGCCCCTCCCAAATTTTAATGGCAGCTCAGTTATCAAGTACAAACAATTAATAATAATAGGTAGCAGGCATTCAGTATGTCAGCATCCAGAGAGTGGAAAGTAAGCTACCTCTGACCAGAGAAATTAACATAACAAGTAGTGAATTTGACGGGTCTTAAATCAGCACCATCTTACAAAGCTGGTTTGTTTTCCTTCTGCATCATTCAAATAGAATAATTGAAACTAGTCACTTGCTTTAATTTTTGCTTACATGAACTAGGATAAAATACTACACAGACAGCAGGCTTTTTCAGAACTTAAAATGGGAGAAACTCTAATTTGCAGGTTATCAACTACAGAAACACTGAAGCCTTTACTAGAAAAGATTTAAGTTGCAGAGATGCTTGGTAAAGTTGCAGGTGCTTGGTGAAATATTACTTTGAATTAAGCCAATCACCTAATCACACTTCTGTAGAAGTTTCAGCCTGAAGTAATATTAGGCTATTTTCATTAAATAATTAGGACAAAGAATCTTAAAATATCAACTTTTGTCTTGCTCTTGGTTAGTTAGAAAGGAACAAAGGCAGTCTCATTTTAAGTTATGCTGTGAAGCAGAGGAGAATATAAAATGTTGGATTCTACTTAAATCACAAACATTTATCTTATGTTGGTGACTCTGATAATCTTGGTTAATTAGAGTTCAGTAATGCTGCAATATACTTGCAAGAACAACCTATGTACAACCTATGTACATAAACCAAGCTTTATGTTATTGTAAACTTCTAATTCCTTAAGACAGTTAACAGTTTTAAACTAATAATTTTCTAGAGCCATTTTACAATGCTCTACACAACTACTGCTTTATAGTAAAGCTTTTCTTTTTTTTTTTCCAAGTGATAAAGGCTGTGGGGCTCAATTACATGATGCTGAACAGTCTAAAACCACTTCCATTTCTTTCTTTTCTCCTCAGAAACATACAGTCTCATCAGCTGGCTTAGCTCTAGAATTGCTTACTGTGTAACTAGGTAAAAACTAGTATCAGCAAATGGGAGAAAACAGATATATAGCAAAAGGAAAAAGAAATTATGAGCTTGGACCATAAATTTTTACTTGGAAGTACTTAGTATGTTGAAGATTACATTCACAGTTAAGAGACAGAAAAATCATCAGCTTCAAAGGCAGATACCGGAAAGGAGAACCTAAATAAAGCACCTCCATTGCAAGTTCTTCAAGTGGCTCCTAACTATATAGTCTTTAATGCATTTCCTATTCACTTCAAACATTTAAAGAACAAGGACTGCTTTTGATGTGGTACCTGTTGTATGTGGAAATAACTTCAATACATTTCTTTATTTGTCATACTGAATGGTTAAAATATTGCTACATAAATTTTATCTACTTTATGGCTAACACACAAAAATATCATTTTTTAATTTGGACTTTTAAAAATATATTTATTCGTATTTATTTGGACATTATTCAAAATTAATGTTTTATATGCTGTGAATGAGAATTCTACCCATTATTTCTAACTTCCTTAATGACTAGGAAGAAAACAGCATAAGAAAGATGGGACAACTAAAACATCTAACTTTGCAACAAAAACTGGTAACATGTAGAGCACACATAATGAGTACTTAATAAATCTTCCTCACTGAAGAACTTCACTACCATTAATATCTTGCATCCAAAAATAAAACAAAAAAGGCTAGATATGAATTCATACTGCAGAGCTGACAGAACGTATCTTAAACTTAAAAGGCATCAGGTCAAGCACAAGCAGTGAGAATGTAGCTGGAAATAGGGTATCAATGAAAGAGGAGTATCTTCTGAGTTGTAGCAGAAGAGTTTCAGAAAACTCACAATTAGTTAAATACTGTATTACAGAGTAATAGCAATCAAGAGACAGAAAGCCCAGCATTCATGTCTGTCATACTAATTTTGCTTATTTCTTCTCTAGTTTTTATTTCTAACGCATATCTTATACGGTATACAGATCTTTCCATTATTATTTGATCACAAGTAATTTTCTGAAGAAAAATTATATTGTTGGAAAAGATAATTTTTTTTTCTAATCATTTACAGCAGTTATTTTTGATTAAAAATTTTTTGATTAAAAAAAAAGATAAGGATAAAACCCACCCAACATATTGGTGAATATTGCATTTAAATGCAGTTTTTGCCTCAGTCTTTGTTAAATAAGACCAACAACAAACTCCTCCCTAAAAACCAGCCCTAAGCACAGGTCTAGAGCAGAATGTTTCATTATCCAGTTTTATGTCTATTTTGCATTGTCCTGGTCTGTAATAACTTGAAATATGCCTCATGTATTTCTGAAGTCTTTCCAAAGGCACTGTGTGAAACTAACAAATGGATACAGCAGACTTTCCAGTTTTGAAAGAAAATAATTGATTCTTATGTGATTCCCACCTTGAAGCGCCAGCTAAAATGCCAAGTTTTGGCATAACCCTACAGATCTTGAAGATCACACAAAAATACCCCAGGAGCTGCTCACAGAACAGCTCAATCTCACTGTAATAATAACCTAACCTTGGACATACAGTGCTCTCTCTTCTCCTCTTCATGCTTGGTTTAACTCCCAATTTAAATAAACATCCTTCAATTTTGAAATGTAATCTTGAATTTAAATTCCTCCACAAAGGAGGAGAAAGACAGAAACAGAAAAGGAGCATCATTAGCACACTTGCTGCAGCTTCATCAGGTTTTCACAGGTGAAAAGAATGTGTGCAAAGCTCTGCTGTATTTACTAATGAATATGGCATCGGTGATAATGGCTGGATGAGCTCATTAGATAAAATGAAATAAGTTGGACAAGTTTCAGCTTAAAAAAAAAAAACACCACCACCAACAAAAAGCAAAATAACGCCTTACGTAACATTTCTCAATAATGTACTGTAATCTACAGTTAGCTAAACCTGATATCCATGTATCCATGATATCCATCCTACTGTTTTTCAATCAATGGGCCCATTTTCAAAATTCTTTTTGGGAACCTGCAAGTAAACCTTATTTTAGTCACCACCAGAGCAATGTTCACTTCTGTGTCTTTTAGGAGGATCTTGACTGCTTATTCTCACATTTTATGAACACTGTCCATTTCCAACTTAGCTCAGATACAAGGGTACATGAAACTGAATGCAGTTTTAGTTCACACTTGTACATTACATTTTCCTAGTTACACAAGAGATTTACTGATATTTAAACACAAGTATGTATTCTCTTGATAACTGTGCAAACAATATTACTCCTGCAAAGCTGCATGCAGTTTGCATGCGTTTCCATATGGCCCAATGGCTCATTTTACACTTCATCTTAAGAGTGAAATGCTTTCATTGGTCAAACAGACCATATACACATAGTTTATAAGATGTATAGAACACAGTACAGAAATACTATATGAGCAACCTGTACTAGAATGAAACATAGATATACAACTACTAACCACAAGAAATTTCAGAATCAGTCATGACATTTATTTACAGAGATTGAAGAGACCTTTACTCAGGTCCCAAGGTCTATTAG